CGAACTATAACAACTCAGAATAGCCTATTCTCATTAGAACAGGTACGTTCAGGTGCTGCATGTTCTGATCATCTAGATATCACTAATTGCACCTGGTCTGACGGTCTTTCGCTCTGTCTGATCAATACAATCGGTCCAGCTGCCACTAGGAAGTCCATTCAGGTTGCCCCATGGAGCATGCACTGAAGGCACTTGGGGAGTGGCTACTTGGGGAGCAATGGTTTGCTGCTGCTGCAGAGCCCAGGAGACATCCTCTCCATTTCTCAGGGCTTCTGGCAAGGAGGCTGCAGGCATTGGTTTGCATAGAGTCTTTATGGGAAGATGGGCCTTCCTGATTTGTGGGGATTGAGAAAGGAGACCCTATGGGATTTATCATTTTGTAAGCACATCACTAGCTATGTTAATGTAATTGACGTAGTTCATTCATCACACCTTTTACTGTATTTTCCCTGGGCGAAGCTGGGTATTTCTGCTAGTAAATAATAAAATCAGATAAGTATGGATATGTGGAAGGGCCAGTCTGATCATATCTATATCTGTTTATAGATATAGATATCTGTGTATATGTATAAATCCACTTAATTGAATTTGATGGAGATAATCTGGCATAAATCTGGATTGAGAACAGAATTTGGCCTATTAACTTTTTGATGTTTAGCTGAATCAAACCTTTGAAATTTGTTCATCTCTACCAAAAATATCGAATGATTTACCTTCCTTAAAATAACATACAGATCTCAGCCAAAGCAGGTTGTCAGTTCCATTTTCGATTATCAAGCAATCTTTCTATAAAACTATCACCGTTCTTGTCTGTCTGTCTGTCATGGGAGAGGAGGAAAGCAGTATTTCTCGAAAGTTGTTTAAAATATGTATGGCAATGTTAAATCAATGCCACGTCTCTGCCTGTGAGCGTACTTTCCATCTGTGTGGCCTGCCTATGAAAAGGAGCATGAGAGGAGTCATTTCTGTTAACACAAGAAAGCTTGACCTTTGATACAAAGTTGTAAGAGTGCAAAATGAAGAGGTTCAAAACTCTGAGGAAGACCTGGAGGAAGACAAACAAGGAGCAGAAAATCCACCATAAGATTTTACAAATCTTCTAGAGGAAGAAGCTATGGGTAACAATTTCTGCAAACAAATGTGTTTGATCTTAATGAACTTTTTGGAGGCTTGAACATCTTGCTCTTCTGTGATCTCCTTCAACTTCCACCAGTATCAGGCAGTCCCATTTATAAGCAACCTGTTTCAATGAGACTCACTGTGCTGCTCTGGTGCCTCTTTAGCTTTTGTGAGTTGACTGAAAACATGTGACAGCAAGGGGATACAACATTTATCAACATTTTAAATAATTTTCAAAAGGAAAAACTCACACGAGGACAACTAAATATTTTACTGCGTAAATGTGAGGAAAGCAAACAACAAGGGAACTTTTCACCCAGAAAAGCTCTGAGAATCATGCCAACTTGTAAAATGGTAGATGACCACAATAATCAAGTTTGGTACACTTTAGACAATGCGAATCTCCAAATGTTCACAATCACAGTGAAAGATACCCTCACTGAGCACAAAAGACGAGTGCCTAACCTTTATCAAGCTACCCCAACAAAGATTGATCGAATGGCAGGCATTCCAAAGAGAATTGTAATACATCTGGGAGCTAAAGTTATGCTTCAGTACAATGATGACCAAGCAAAAGGCTTGGTCAAATGCAATATTGGCACCATCACCAATATAATATGACCCTATTTCCGCTGCAACCAAATTCACAAAACCGATATCCCTAATGTTGACATTGGATTCGAAGGCCATGTCGCAAAGCACATCATCGAGCCAATCACATGTCAATTTCAAGTGAATTTTGGATACGTCTTGATGGAGCGCCAAATGCTTCCAATCATCCGTGCTTATGCAGTCACCAACCACAAACTACAAGAGACTCAGGTGGATCAAGTAGTTGTGAACCTTGGCTCTCAATACTTTGTGCCAGCTCAACCATTTGTTGTGCTCAGTCAAGTCTGTTCTATGGAAGGCGTAGAGATCAACAAAATCAATCCAAACAAATTAATGGGCAACAATATTTGTCATAAAGACATCTTCGGAGAATTACACCGCCTTCGAAGTCTTCCTCCTTGTAACCAACAAAACAAATGATCGCTCACCTCCATTACTTTATCCTTGTCATAAACACAACAACTGATTTTAATTAAAAATGTAAATACAGGAAGTCCCCGGGTTTGTTCTTAAGTTGAATCTGTATGTAAGTCGGAACTGGCGTCCAGATTCAGCCGCTGCTGAAACCGACCGCCAGTTCTGACTTATATACAGATTCAACTTAAGAACCCCAAGTCAGCTGCTGCTGAAACTGATCAGCCGCTGATTCCAGGACGCCCGGGGCAGAGCAACTGTGCCTCGGGCTTCCTGTAGTCAGCGCTGGTCAGTTTCAGCA